CTATACATTTCTATTCCTTCTGAAGATCAAGACTCTGTAGACAGACTGACCAGCTGTGTGTCAGATGTTTCTCAGTGGAAAATTTTCTACAATTAAATCATGAAAAAACTGAAATACTGACCGTTGGTACAGAAACTCAGAGAAAAATGATTTATGAGAAACTTGGTTTATTAGCTTCATAAACCGAACCTGAAATACGAAACCTGGGTGTGATCTTAGACTCTGAGCTCTGTTTTATCCTGCATGTAAACACAATCACTAAAATAGCTTTTTATCATTTGAGAAATATCCCTAAAGTTCAGCCTTTTCTATCTCAGAGTGACGCAGAGAAACTTCTTCATGCATTTGTTACAAGCAGAGTTGATCACTGTAATGATCTTCTTACTGGACGTCCTAAGAAAACAGTACATCCCTTACAACTCGTACAAAGTTATTCCCCCGCATCCTCAGAACGTTAGACACATGTACTGTGGAGAGCGTTCTAACAGGCTCCATCACCTCCTGGTATGGAAGCTGCACTGCCATTGAGCGGAAAGCTCTGCGGAGGGTGGTGCGGACAGCCCAGCACATCACCGGGATCCAGCTCCCAAACCTTTTGGATTTATACACCAGCCGCTGCCTGAGGAAGACCAGGAGGATTCTAAAGGACTCCACCCACCCAAGCCACTGTCTGTTCTCACAGCTGCCGAGCAGGAGGAGATACAGAAGCCTAAAGTCCAGAACCAGCCGGTTCCGAGACAGTTTCTTCCCCCGGGCCATCAGGCTGCTGAACAGCCAGTAGTGCTGGTGTATCTGTCTATAGGCCTGTCACTGCGCCGTTGAGTCGTCATCTCAATGGACAATCTACACCTCATCCACATCTCATTAGACTCACTCTGATACTCTGCACCTTCAGTCTAGCAAATCTGTACTTACACACACAGACTGACATCTTGTACATCTTCTATCCGTATCTTGTATAATCTGGAAGATTTCTATATCAGTGTTCTGTCCCTGAGTACCTGCATCTCATTTATTATCTACCTCAGACTCACTGCACATACGGAAATGTGTACAACAGCACATTTCATAGTTTTATTTCATAACTTATTACTGTACAACTGTACATTGGAATAGTGCAATACTAGTGTATATTGTGTATATGTGTATATTCAGAGTCGGTGTGTGTGTGTGTGTGTGTGTGTGTATATATATATATATATATATATATATATATATATATATATATATATATATATATATATATATATAGTTCTTTTTTCCTATATATATATTCTATATTCTATTCTATAGGGGGGCTACGCACCTAAGATTTTCACTCACTTTCCACCTGTGTAAATGTGATGTGACAATAAACGTGATTTGATTTGATTTGAAACGCAGCAGCGCGCATCCTAACAAAAACAAAAACAGAGAGATCACATCACTGGCTCCCTTCAGTCTGAGAGGAGATGGAGACCCCTGAGCAGAAAGCATTTTGCGTTCTCCACTTCAATAAGAGTGAATCCGTCATAACTGTGTGATGTGATTTTCGTTGGCAGTGAACCTCCAACAGCTCAGAGCGTTCGCCGTTGGTTCCACAACACTGTTATTCTGCTTCTAAACCGTGGAACTCAATCCACCTTTTATTAGACAGTCAAGCTCAGTGCTCACTTTTAAGAAGAATCTAAAAACGTATCTCATTAAAATAGAATTTAATTAAAACTCTACGTCTCGTGGTGTTTATCTTTTAATGTTTTTTTTTCTTCTGATTCTAAATCAATACTTATAACTTCTTTTATAACTGTTTTGTGTCACCTGTCTGTAAAGCACTTTGAGCTGCCACTGGCATGAAAAGTGCTATATAAATAAAAATGATTATTATTATTATTCATGTAAGCGCTGATTCTGATACTAAAACACAGTTTTGGTATCGCCAATAACGATACCATAAAGCATTTTCTGACGTGTGTGCACTACTGAATGTGCCTCTGTATGTATCTTAACTGAAGCAGACCCATCAGCAGTGTGCGAAACCAGTATTTCGTGGGAAGGCAGTGGGTGATGAGGGATTTACCAACTGGGATTTTTTCTGAGGTGTTAGTTTCTTCAGTACGCCACAAATAAGCGCAGCATACACACCAACATTAGTCTCTTTAAGTGATCACCCATCTTGCGCTATAAGCACCAACAGCGGAGGGGCGTTGGGGCATTGGCTCCCTAGAACTAAAGAGGGAGGGGAGAGGGTGGGCAGCACCTCCGCAATCCTGTTGCGAAGCTTGAGAGAAGCCACGGTAGTGAAACTTGTGGGGTTTTTTTTCTCAGTTTTCTCCCCGGTTTAGACGTATCCAATTCCTCCCACTAGTTAGGAGGAATAACACTCCTCCAATCACACAATACCACCAGCGCTAGGAGGGAGAAAGCCAGCACAGAGTTCCTCTGAGACCTGCGAAGCGCCACCACATCTTTTCCAACTGCCACTAACACAACTTAATTGGACGGTTGAACGCGCTTGGAGGAAAGCGCCAACCGCCAGTTCTGTTGCGTCAGCTAACAGACGCCTGCGCTGGCTAGCATCGCGCTGGGTGATGGGGGGAGATGGGGGCCATTCTACCCTCCCAGAGAGAGCGAGGCCAATTGTGCTCTTTTGGACTGATGATAGGGTCGATGCTTAGACGGTTGCGTCTCTCTGGAGCCCCCGAAACTTGTCATGTTTTGTAAGGTTATAAAAATGAAAAGACATTCTGGAGTAACAAGCCACTGTTAGCCTACAAAATAGGTTTTCTTAAGCGCATAAAATGGTTTTATTCAAGAAAAAAAAAGGAAAAATACTGGGTGATTCAGAAAGATTCATATGATTTCAAAGCACTATATTTTTTACAATCGTGAGGCGCCTAGGAACCAATCACATACCAATTGAAAGAGGGGGGTCATAGAGTTTCTGACTGTCGCTAGAAGATGGCTCCCTTCAGTCTGAGAGGAGATGGAGACCCCTGAGCAGAAAGCGTTCTGCATTCTCCACTTCAAAAAGAGTGAATCCGGCATAACTGTACAACGTGATTTTCGTCAGCAGTGAACCTCCAACAGCTCAGAGCGTTCGGCGTTGGTTCCACAACACTGGATGATCTCCGAAATCGCACTGAAAGAGCCGTGAGTGCAGCGACACCCGACATGCTCAGTCGAGTATGGGATGAGTTTGACTATGGCGTTGATGTTGTCCGTACAGCTGGAGGAGGTTCATACTGAGCACTTGTAAAATGACATAATAAACTTTATGCACTTAAACCATTTACAGTTTACTACATTGTTCTTTAATGATTTGAGTAAAATATTTTAAAAGTATATAAATATCAGGATTTACAAATATCAGTATTTAGGTTAGACACAGTATCGATATCAGCGGATAATTGAGGTCCAGGTATCAGTACTGGAATGGAAAAAGTGGTATCGATGCATCCTTATGTAATATAGAATATTATCTAACACAACAAATAATATATTGAATCCTAGTTTTAAGCCTGAATGCCTCTATTTGCTTTCATTCTTTTTGCCTGTACTGAACTCACACACTGTACATACTCCAAATGTACTTCCTCACAGAGTCGTAAGGCTGAGGTGTGGGGAATATCTCACAGTGATGTGAAACAGCCAGCAGGTTTCTCTGTTCCTCTGTCTGTGATTCATATGACTCGTGACTCATGAGGAGACATGCTTTGCCTGGTTTCAATTAAAGATTTCCAAAAGTGCTTTCAGAATTAACATAACTATACCAAATTTGCATGATGGGAAACAACGTTACTGGCTAGCATCAGCATCAAACAGTTCCTTCTTTATCAAAATGACGATAATTTACATTTCTGAGCGAGATGTACTCGATGGATTTGTGAAGTTTATGATCTTGCCTTCTAAAAAGTTATTCTGGAGTTTTATTTAAAGCCTTGATGTCATATAGTCCTGCATTGCCATTAGACATGCCACCTTTTCCCCAACCAGCTGGCCAAGTGGACTGAAAGTTTACCGTCCTGAGAGAGTAAAGACTGCCCTGAACTCATTTTTGCTAATATTAATTAAAACGTCTGTTTACATCCTGTACATGTGTGATTTAGCACTCCTGATAAGCAAGTGGCCTTTTTCGTTCATACACCCGAGATGACAGAGAAATATTAAAATCTTTTTAAAATCTACAGACTGATTTCTGTAAATGGCAGTGTTTTGGTTTTGCCTGCTTTGTTAGGGTAACATACCAACTACAGAACATCTCCAGTGTGGATGGCTCAAAATTGATCCACAGAAATTATATGCATAAATAAAGGTTTTGCTGGCATTTTGAACAACTGCTCACTCTACAAACAGTTACCGAGAAGCAGCACGATTGGCTTGACTGAACACAGCCGTGTTAAACTGTTTTTCCCATGGCAAGGGCGTGTTTGGAATTGAAAGTGAATGAAGACAGTATAAGGTGTGCAGTTGACTGGGTTGGGTGTCCCCAAAACACGTCAAAATGGCAGCTTGCCCAACTGTGTGGTTTTCAACACTGCTTGTATGAAGTGTTATAGCGTGAGCATGTATTGTGTGAGCGTGTATGCAGAATTAGCAGTTTACGAGCTCCAGGTATTCAGACAGTTAATGCTGAATCCTGCATTTGTTTCATGGTGGTCTGTAAAAGCATTGCTTTTTATATCGCCTTGCTCTGTACATCATGTGAAAAGAACGGTTTCTGGTTGGTCACTTTTACATATTAGTCAAATGTCCCCTTTCCGGTCAAAGCAGGCAGCTCATGGCCAAGCTTCGAGGTGGGCAGTATAGCGATATTTAATTATTATTGAGGTATTGTGAAGTGATGAATGTTGTTTTCATGTTATATAATATTATAGTTTTATTGTTTATAATAAGAAGAATAAGAATAAGAATATTTACACACATAACTGCATATCATTGCCTCCCTGTGAATCATTTTTTTCGACGAGAGTGAATGGTGTAAGTGCTGTGATCTGACGGTGTGGGTTTGTGTTGTGTTTCAGTTGCTGGGAGCGGCGTTCCTGGGCATTGGACTCTGGGCATGGGCTGAAAAGGCAAGTAGACAACACAAAGACACAGACTGACAGAATGATTCATGACATGCTTCAGATTCCTCATCTTCTTATTTGGGTTGTTACTTTAGCAACAGTGTCCCTTCTTCACACTGCAGGCTACGCTTCAGAAAATTGACTGAAGTGAATGAACGAAAAAAAACAATCACCTTTTCCTGATGGCGGATTTAATTTCTCCAGATTCTCTGAATCTTTTAATGATATTCTGTACCGTAGATGATGAAAAGCAAAAGTTCTTTGCTATTTTATGTTGAGAAACGTTATTCTTGAATTGTTGAACTATTTTCCCGCACAGTCTTTTAGAGTGTTGAACCCCTCCTCATCTTTACTTCTGAAAGACTCAGCCTCTCTGGGATGTCCTTTTATACCCAATCATGTTACTGGCCTGTTGCCAATCAACCACCAGGTGGTTTTTTAGCATTACACAAATTTACCAGCTTTTTGTTGCCCCCGTCCCAACTTTATTGGAATGTGTTGTTGGCATCAAATTCAAAATGGGCATAAATTTTTCAATAAACAATACAATTTCTCAGTTTCAGCATTTGACATGTTGTCTTTGTACTATTTTCAATGAAATATAGGGTTTAAATGATTTGCACATCACTGCATTTTGTTTTTATTTACATTTTGCACAGCGTCCCAACTTTATTGGAGATGGGGTTGTACTTAAGTTGGAATAAAGGTATCATCCCATAAAAATTGCACATGCAACTGAGTAAAAAGAGTAATTAGTTACTGTCCATCTCTGGGAGGTACTCTAAACATCTATATGGGGTTAATTAAATGCATTAAACTGTCTTCTTGAATCTGTCCTTTTATGTTTTGACGTGCATTTACAGATAGATGACCACCATACATGTGTTTTCCTTTTGTTTTACTGGGCCGACGTAAAGCTTGTGAACGATTTGTTCTGTTGGTCGTTCAATATAATGGTTGAGAAGTGATGGCGTGTCCATTCATGCTCCATCATTGTGACAAAGCAGTCAACAGAAGTCCTGTGGTCAGAAACTGACCGATGATGAATGGTGTAGAGGGCGTCTGATGAATTGCATCAACAGATGAGCCACAGTCTGCACCACATAGTGGACCTGAGAGTTTTTTCTGATAAAATAGCCCGTGAGAAGAAGCACAAGGTACAGTTATGTCTGTAAATATTTAGATGTCGAGTGAGTTGTTATTGTAGGTGTTTACCACAGCGTCCTGGAGCTGATGAAATAGTGACTCTGAGCTCAAACTGCAAACTTTCAGGATTAATTTGAGAGCGTTTACATCCGACTAGGGTGAAACGTGTAGAAACTACAACCATTTTCAAACAAACCCTCGATTTTTAGGACTCAAATGGAATTGTGCAGGTGGCTGATCAGCTGTTCCGTGGCCAGGTGTGTGGTATTCCCCCATTATCTGATTTACAAGCAAGCAGATCAAAGATCCAAGGGAATTTCAAGTGTGACATTTCCTTTTGGAATCACTTGCTGTTAACTCTCAATGTAAAGTCCAAGGAGTTTCTCTGCCGGAGAAGCAAGCCGTCATTTGGCTAAATAAATCCAAACAAACCCATTAAAGAGAGAGAGCAAAAACATTAGGTGTGACCGAATTAGCTATTTGATACATTCTTAAAAGAAAAAACTCCCTGCTGAGCTCTGAACCCATAAAAAGGCAGAGTAGACCATGGAAAACAACTGTGGTGGATGACGGAAGAACCTCCCTGGTGAGGTAAAACCCTTTCACAACAGTCGGCCAGAACAAGTACCCCCTCCAGGAGGTGGGTGATCTGTGTCAGTGTCAACAATAAAGAGAAGACTTCACCAGAGTAAATACAGAGGGTTTACCGCAAGATGTAAACCATTGGTATGTCTTAAAAACAGGAAGACCAGATTTGCCAAAAGGCATCTAAAAAGGCCTGTACAGCTCTGGAACACCATCGCATGGACAGATGAGGCAAAGATTAACTTTTACCAGAGCGACTGTAAGAGATGAGTGTGGAGAACAAAGGAGCTGCTTGTGATCCAAGCATTTATCTGGAGGTAAAGTTATGGCGTGAGCATGCATCACTGCTAGGGAGCTGGTTACCTAGTATTTATTGATGATTTGACCCAATTCTTAAAAGTGTAGGCCAGAGCTGGGAACAAGTCACAAAGTTGCAAGTAACAAATAAGTCTCAAGTCCCAAGTCAAGATAGTCGAGTCTCGATTCAAGTCCAGAGTCAGTAAAGGCAAGTCTCAAGTCGAGTCCTGAGTCAATAGTCCTGATCTTTGAGTTCTGAACAAGTCAGTCTGCATTCTTCAGCTAATTTAAGGCTATAACACTGAATAATGGTAACAGTACTATAGCCTTTAATGATGTCAGCAGTGTATGGTTTTTATTCATTTATTATTATTCTTTTTATTTATTTATTTATTTATTTATTTATTCACACTTCCAACTAAAATATAGAATCCATGGTACACAGATAACCACGACAGGCATGCTGTATACACAAAGAATAGTGCCACTACAAATGAAAAGAATTCAAATCAGTCAAATAGAGAGAGCTTTAAGTGCTGAGCGACGGCGCATTGATGCTGTTGAAGCGTCGCTTGTTTCCAGCTTATGGAGGCGAACTGGTCTTCCGAAAAAAAAGTAAGCCAATAAGCACAGTAACATTCGACAACGTTGCTGTTTGTTCAATTTATGGCCGGAAACAAATTTATTCGCATTCTCTGTACTGTGTAGAGTCCTGTCCACAGTCAGACTCTCTACGTTTCGTCCACTTTGAGTGTCGAGTCTTTCCGAGTCTTGACAATCAAGTCTGAGTCAGAGTCCGAGTCACTGGTGTTGAAGTCAAAGTCGAGTTGCAAGTCTTTCTCGATTTTCTTGAGTCGAAAGTCATCAAATTCGTGACTCGAGTCTGACTGGAGTCCAAGTCATATGACTTGAGTCCACACCTCTGGTATAGGCCTATATTATCTACTTAGATTCAGCCAAATGCTTGCGCTCCACAATGAACAATAACCTAAAGTGTACTGCGAAAGCAGCCCAAAGCGTTTTTTTAGGACAAAGAAGTGAAATGTTCTGTAATGGCCGAGTCAGTCAGTCGTCCACTCGGGCATGCATTTCACGTACCCAAGGTGAAACTGAAGGTAAAACACCCCAAAGAACTAGCAGTAGCTGCAGGAAAGGCCTGGCAGAGCATCACCAGGGAAGAAACCCAGTGTCTGGTGATGTCTGCGGGTTCCAGACTGCAAAGGATTTGTAACCAAGCACAAAAATGAGCATTTATAATTCTATAACTTTGTCCTGTTACGACTGAGCGCCTCGAACTGGGACCCTATGTAAGAAAATGGTTGTAATTTTTACGCCAGTGGCCTGATTTGGATGTAAATACCCTCAAATGAGAGATGAAAGTCTCCACTTTGGACTCATTGTTTAATTTCAACTCCAATATGCTGTGGGTTTATATCCCCTAATGAAGATGTTGTTCAGGAGTGCTTTAATATCCAAAACCTGACCCAACAATGAGTAACATTTCATCGTGCTTCCTTCGAGAACTTGAATTTGAATGAGTTTCAGTCGTGTTATTAGGTTTTTGGAAGCTGCTGACACTGGTAGTCTAGCAGTGCCAGAAATTGGGAGCTTGTTTGTGCAGCATGACATGATGCAATAGCTTGTAGTTCGATGCCAACTTTGAGATGCAGTTGGACAAAAGCTACCATGAAGCTCCTACCAGGAGCGCATTGTGGAATGTCATATAGTGATGTGAAACAGCACATCCGTCACCCATGTAACCCAAGTGTGAGGTGTAGCCTGGCGCATAATATGGGCCTTATTGACCCACCACTGGTATATCGGTACCTGCAGTAGTTCCACCAATAATGTTTTTTTTGTTTGTTTGTTTGTCTTTAATGGCTGTGACATCACCTGGATTTGAGGTCATGGCCTCCTGACAATAGGACCAAACCTTAGACAGCTGCAGCCGGAGCTTAATTAGTGACTATTTATGATGCAATGAGTCACTGACGTGAAAAATCATTCACATCCGAGGTTCAAGTGGTTTCACGTTCATATATGTCAGTCTTTACTCAGACTAACAAGCTTAGAGTCGCCATTTGTTTACTTTTAATACAGCAATACAGTCTGAACTGCTAAATGTAAACACGAAACACAATCATGGGGAAAAATAAACAGGCATAAAAATTAAATGCATCTAACCTGCGACATGGAGAACTGGATTTTTCTTGCTTTTTTGTAATAAATGAATTTGATGTATAGATGTTTTAAAATGTACCATTCACTCTGCAGACAATACAGTCCATATATGGAAACTGGGCTGTAAAAACAGCCTGTTTTGAATTCATTGTTCCTGTAATGTCATAAGAAACCGACTCATTAGCATATGCCCACCTATTCAACTTACAGCAGTTTAGCCCCGCCCATTCGTGCTGAAGTTATAAGGAGTGTTTTAGCCCAGACTGCTTTTGACTGAGGCACAACACAGGACAGCTACTTAAAACAGAGCACGTTGACATGATTTAGACGTAAAAGCACAGGAACAAAAACAGCCTGGTTAACTTCTAGAGTGTGATGGTCATGCAAAAAAATGAATTATGACTGTGTTAAATATATAAAACCACACAAACATCATAAGTGGGTCTCAAGGAGCAAAAGAAAAGAAATGAAAAATGTAGGTTATGGGCTCTTTAACCTTTAGCACGAGAATAGAGTGTTATAACAATAAGAGCAGCCGCCAAAGAGATATTAGCGCTAATTGACAGAAACCGACAAAACGGCCAAGAATTCTGATTAAAGTGCTGCCCTGGCACTACAATCGCAATATTGTATTACCTAAGACCACATTTCTGCTGTTTCAGTTTTGAAAGAAAAATGATTTTTGAGAACTGATAGCCGTCTGGGAGTTCACACAACTGAAAAGCTAACATTTTTGGCTTTTTAGTTCATGTCTCTGGTCATGTAAAGCATGATTCATCAAATCACATCATTAAAAGAGGCCAAATTCTTCTGTTCTTGTAATCTTTAATAGAAGTGTAATGACTTCTTTACCTCTAAAAGGTTGTGATTTTTAATTACGTCATCAAGCCTCAGCTAAAGCACCTTGAGAGAAATGGGACGTAGCATTCCTAATATTTTTCATATTTCTCGGTGCAGATGCTGATCCGTGCATGTACACTGTTAGAAATAAAGATTCTGAGCAGGTACATTTCTCGTTCATCAAGATACAAACAATGTAAATGTTTATTCAAAGGTACAACAGCAGTTTTAAGGTCCAACTGTGAACCTTAAATATTTTTTTCCCAGGTGAAAAGTTTGTATTTGTACCTTTTCATAACTGAATGTTTTAAAACAGAACAGTAAAATAAAAGCCTGGAGACGAGACGGGGTGTGTGGAGTCAATACAGCTTAGAACATATCATTTAAATGGATTATGGTTCAGTTATGTTCCCTGACTAAAGGTACTGAGATGTACCCTTGAGGGTACCACCCCAGGGACAAGAGGGGTCCTGGTTAGTACATTTATTTCTGTAAAATAGGACAGAATCCATCTGTATTAGCATTACAGCATTGTAATGTATGTCTATGGGGTTCTGTAGTGAGTAAAATGCAGATTTTTTTTACCACAGTAACCCAGCGCCACCTAAATGTCCTGCTCCTAATATCTATGTGCGCAGTCAAATCTAAATACCTGTCTGATGCGGATAAAATTTTTTGAACAATTTTCTGCTGATATTGCTGTAATTCTGAAGCCGTCGTGTGTCCCATTGTGTCCCAAAAGTGTTTTGTTTGTATAGATTTATAATCTTTATAATTTTAGTTCTTGATTAGATACAGTAAATGTTTTCACAGTGCAAAGCATGAAAGCTTTTTTTTATCTTTCTGAGAAAATGCACAGTCATATGTAGAAGTTTGTGTGCTCCTGGTCAAATTACATGTTTTTGTGTGTGAATTTAACATGTTGGAAAGAACAAGCATAGTGTGACCTGTAAAAAAAGTAAAGGCACAGTTTATATTTGGTGCTTTTCCAATCTATTAAACTATATTAAAGGAAAGTAATTGTGCACTAAAAATTGCCACGTTTGTTCTCTGAGGATGTGTTAACTTATTTTCACTTAGAAAATCAACACATTCCTTGACCAGGGGTGTTTAAACTTTTGCGTACTATTGTATTTGGACTTTTTGCAGTGCAGACCTCCACAGTATTCTTCAAATATTAACATTAAGTCCAGCATTAAAAAGTTTACTGTTAGCAATGTAAAGCTGATAAAGTCCCAGTGACACTAACGAAGGCCTGCACTTGCCTTCTGAATGCCAGTTTAAACGTTTTCCTCGTCATATTTCAGTCACTCTGACCTCCTTAGAACATGACAGCAGTCGAGTGTTGTCTTTTTAAATCCCTCATTGTGGCTTTTCTGCTCTGATACCAGGAAACGGGGGGCCATATGGGTTTCATTATTCATTTATTGTGGTAGCAGTTTTTCTCTCTCGGTTACGGCACGTCTCTGTGTTCAGAACATAGTGTCCGCCTCAGCGAGATGGATGGCTGAACTGCTGAGATTTCTTTATGACTGAGGGAATTTCTCTCTGAAAGGTCAGCCATGCTGCAGCGTACTCATGCGTGAACGCCGGATGTAATTGGCTCACATTTAAACTGACTTAATGACTTCAGAGCGGTTAATTGACTTATTAATAAGCTGGGAGTGGGTCCAGCTCTGTTCATATAAAGCATGTAGACAGCATGTCAATGGCGGGTATTGATGAGAACTCCACTAGGACTCTCTGATAGCACCATGTGAATAAGTAATGATTTGGCTGGAATTCTTGATTTGCTAATTGTTAATCATTACCAGTTCATTAATATTTAATAAACTGATTTTCGATTTGCTAATTGTTAATCGTTACTTCATTAATATTTGAGAAATTGGTTCTGATTTTCAATTTGCTAATTGTTGGTCATTACCAGTTCATTAATATTAAATAAACTGTTTACGTTTTTTTAATCTGCTAATTGTTAATTATTGCATTACTAATGATTAGTGAGGCCGTAGGTGAAATACCACAGTCAAGTTCGAATAGTCGTAATCGTGTTTCATAGATCAGGCTAATGATAGTGATATTCAGGTTTCCTATGTTTGCTGCGAGATATGAGTTTAAAAGTAAACTTTGGTGAAAAAGCTTATTTTCAGCATTGCCCACGGGAGCGGGCGGGAAACCAGCCCACTGCAGGCGGGAGTGGGCCAAAGCATGGATGAAGAGAAATCCTGCAAATTAATGGATAACCGAAATAAAGTCCAACAATCACAGAATCGTATATATAAATAATATAAAAGGATAACAGTAAAACAATTAAAATGAATAAAGTCTTTCAGAGTTGCAAAGCAGCCGGTCACATAAACAACACTAGGCAATGGAAAGGTGAAGGGGATGGGTTCTATCTATCTATCTATCTATCTATATGTATATCTATCTATTTATGGCATCAGTTTACACCCCCCTTAGCTCATGCCCTGGCCTTACTTCACCCCACCATATGCATGCAGCATTGTCTGAGAAAGAGGATGTTAAAACCCTCTTCATATTGGACCCAGCAGACCTCCAAACTACAATCTGTGAGGCTGTGACGGTGCAGCATTGGTAAAGACATGGGAAATACAACTGTTTACTTTTTTATAAACTCCAGTTTTACAAACTCTTTTTTTTCATGTACTTTCCTTTGACTCTCCTCTTGCTTACGCAAGTGTATTATCTCTCATATAATCCTCAGAGAGCTCTCCCTTGATGGTAATTACACTGTATTCATGCTGGATAAGTGCTCTTTTGCTTATTAAACATGTCCTAAGCAGGAGAACATTTTGGACTTTTGGAACTCCTGGTTTAAATCTATAATTGTTTTTGAATGCTGGTTTTGTCTGAGACTTTTGTTGAGGTGTCTAAGGCTAATACAAAAATGAGCGTGTGAGTGTCTCCTCCCTGAGTAAATAAAACACTGTTTATGTTTTTGAAAATTGGCCAAAGTCTCTACCTGGAAAAAGGATTAATGTGGAGTTGGAGTACAGGTTTGATGGCAAAGCTCAAATGTTTTTGTTTCTGGTAAAGATGGTACAGTGCCACATTTTCTTCTCCACTACAGATACTGATGCATGAACCTTGAATAAGGGCTGATACTGAGCCAGTATTTTGGTTTTAAAGACAACTAAGCTTTAAATGGCCTGTAAATGTCTCTTGCATTTTGGATTTTATCTTGAGGTCCAATTATGATGTTTGTGTGGGTTATGTTTATACCAAAAGTGGTCATAATTCATTTTTATATGACCGTTTCCCAGCTTCTCTCTATCCCTTAGAATTAAACATGCTTGTTTTGTTGCTGTGCCTTTTGGACTAATAGATGTAAATGAGCTCTGTTTTAATTGGCTGCCCCTGTGTTGTGTATTACATACCAGGGTGTATTATTTATTAACTGCAGGGACTTCAGTGCAAACTAATGGAGCTGTTCTTAGGTTGTAGAAGTGTGTAATGAAGCTTTGGGCCTGCTGGTGGGCCCATGGATTTGTAAGGGGTTAATTCAGAAAGCAGTCCAGGCTGAAACACTCTACAACCTATAACAGTGTGAGTGGGCGGAGCTAAACCTCTGCAGGCTGAATAAGTGGATATTTGGGAATACTTTGGTTTTCAGGACATCATGAAGACACTGACTTCAAAATGGGCTGTTTTTGTGGCTTTGTTTCCACATATGGACTGTATGGTCTGAGGAGTGAATGGCGTGTTTAACCATGAAACTTTAACCATGTTTACATGCTGCATCAAACTCTTTTGTTTTGAAACGGAAAGTCATCATGTGGGTCTTTTAAAATGAGCTGTTTCAGGCTAGATTTGTTACAGGACTGCACCAGATTCATTCTTTTCCACTGATATCAGCCCATTTTGCACTGGTCTTCATTTTGTCCTGGGACTGTAGAGTCAATCTCAAAATCACTGTGTTTATTCTGATGTTTTTTGGAACTGATTTGGTGAGAAGTTTGAGGTTGTCATTCACAGTTAGAGGTCTAAAAATGTATTATTGCATCATGAGCTGAAGGTGCTTTCTGATCTGCACTAGTTTTGGCATGTTATAATCTATTATACGTCTAATTATACTAATGTTCAGTAAAGTTTGTGGTCATTTTGTTGCCTGAAATAAAAATTTCAAGCTATTTCCAGACACAAAAAAGGCTTGCTGGATTGTTTTTCTTGTTTATATTCCACTACTGTGGAAACAGCTATTCCAGTCACGTGTATATTCAGTGTATTTAAAACACAGATTTTCAACTGTAAAATTAAAAAGAAGAATGTTTTTCCATTGTTTTTGTCTTTGTTTCCTCACTGTGAAAATAAGTCTTTCAGTCACATTTGTGTATTCATGATTATTGTTTTTAAAAAAATAATTGTGAATCGCACTAAAAGATTTGAATCCTGGTAAAGTTTTCCCAAAGAACCGAAAGTGCGTCTTGAGTTCAGAGATTTGCAGCCGTTCTCACAGCGTGCTCTGTTTGTTCTGCAGGGAGTGCTGTCCAACATCTCGTCCATCACAGACCTGGGGGGTTTCGACCCTGTGTGGCTCTTCATCGTCGTGGGAGGGGTGATGTTCATCCTGGGCTTCGCCGGCTGCATCGGGGCGCTCCGTGAAAACACATTCCTGCTCAAATTCGTGAGTTTCCCTGCTGCACTGCCCATCTGTCTGTGCTTCCTCCAGATGTTTGGCCCTTTTTCCGCTGCTCACTCATTTCAGGGTTCACTCATTTCCACATGTGGAAATGATGAGTTTAATCAGTCGTTTGAACAGAACAAACCCACAGTGAAGTCTAAGTGTTGTGGAACAGTGTGATGCAGTGTGGAGACTGTAGTGTTATTCAGACGGGATCAGTTTTCCATGGAGAGGTGGGGGAGTGCCAGTTTACCACAGGACATCTCAAATGTTTGTGACCAGTTCACACGGGATAAGAAATCTCAGTATAAATGGCTACTCACTTTACACTGCCTTCTCTTAAGAAACAAGCAGAAAACATGTAAAATCATTTCAATTTAGCCATTATTCAGTTTACCTTAACCATTTGGTCTGCTGTCTGAAGTGAAGGCACTGAATCAGTGGCATTTTTATGTGCTCGGGAGGTCAGAGCCAGCAGTACCTATCGGCTTGATTTTGACCACAGAGAGCACAAATGAGCACTTTATCGAGTGCCTTTATGTTTAAAAAAATAGTCCACATTCTCCACAGAATATGAGGGCATTTATAACATGTTTTCACCTAGGATTCATATAATCTGGCTTATTTCTATTCTTTAGAAGATAAAAGGTGCCGGAATCTTTACTGACATGTCGCATTTGGGCTGGAGTAAAATCAGTAAGAAATGCCAGTAAAAATAAAATTACCCTACCTCCTCATGTAAAACTACAGTAGGATAATAGGACTTATATTTGTAAAGACCCCATCTTATGGAGACACATTTCTTAAATGATTATATATCATGGATGTAATAAATAAATAAATATATTTAGAAATGTTATATATTTAGAAATTTTACATTTATTTAGGTATTTAGAAATTTAGAAATATATACATATTTTTGCATTTTTTTTTTTTGAAAGGAAAAACTAAATTTTTGTATGGACATAAGTACTCAGACAATTTGCTGTGACACTTGAAATTTAGCTCTGGGGGCCTCCCGATTTCTCTTGATCATCTTTGAGATGTTTCTACACCTTGATCAGAGTCCACCTGTGGTGAAATTCCGTTGATTGGACATGATTTGGAAAGACACACACCTGTCTGTATAAGGTCTCAGAGCTGACAATGCATATCAGAGCAAAAACCAAGCCATGAGGAGGAAAGAACTGCCCATAGAGCTCAGAGACAGGATTTTGTGGATGCACGGATCTGGAAAAACATTCTGCTGCACTGAAAGTTCCCAGGAGCGCAGTGGCCTCCATAATTCCTAAAGGAAAGAAGTTTGGAACAACCAGTGCTGGCTGCCCCGCCAAACTAAGTAATCAGAGGAGAAGGGCCTTGGTAAGAGAGGTGAACAAGAACTCAAAAGCCACTCTGGCTGATCTCCAAAGATCCTGTGTGCAGATGGGAGAAGCATCCAGAAGGACAACACTCACTGCAGCACTCCACAAATCTGGGCTTTATGGCAGAGTGGCCAGACAGAAGCCCCTACCCAGTAAATGACACATGAAAGCCTGCCTGGAGGTTGCAAAAAAGCACCTAAAGGACTTTCAGACTGTGAGAAACAAGATTCTCTGGTCTGATGAAACCAAGATTGAACTTTTTGGCCTCAGATCTAATCGTCATGTCTGAAGGAAACCAGGCACTGCTTATCACCTGCCCAATACCATCCCTACAGTGAAGCATGGTGGTGGCGGCGTTATACTGTGTGGTTGTTTTTCAGCAGCTGGGACAGGGAGACTGGTCAGGGCTGAGGGAAAGCTAAATGGAGCAAAGTACAGAGATATTCTTAATGAAAACCTGATCCAGAGCACTCAGGACCTCAGATTTGTCTTTCCAACAAGACAATGACCCTAAGCACACAGCCAAGACAACACAGGAGTGGCTTAGGGACAACTGTGTGAATGTCCTTGAGTGGTCCAGCCAGAGACCTGACTTGAACCCAATTCAACATCTCTGGAGAGACCTGAAAATGGCTGTCCACCGACGATCCCCATCCTACCTGACAGAGCTTGAGAGGATCTGCAGAGAAGAATGGCAGAAAATCCCCAAATCCAGGTGTGCAAACTTTGTGGCATCATACCCAGGAAGACAGGAGGCTGCAATCACTGCCAAAGGTGCTTCAACAAAGAACTAAGTAAGGGGTCTGAATACTTATGTCAGTGCAAATTCGGTTTTCACTTTGTCATTATGGGGTATTGAGTGCAGAATGATGGGGATTAGATTATTTTCTCTTATGTCTTTTTTTACTTTAAAATTTCCAGTTACATTTTGCTTTTGTCAATATTTCATGATAAACTGACCAACAGAAATGAGTTACTCTTTACTTGGAACAATCTTGTACAAAACATATTTTATATTTTTTGTTTAACTCTGCCAGTCCTAACAGTGAAACAGAGCTAATAAGGACTACTCAGCACTGTTGTATTTGCATAGTGCTCTCTGGCTCCTGCTCAGTTTATTTATTTATAGCAGTTTTAGCATTTTTCCTGTTATGGACCCATCCCTCAGGAAAATTCTCAGGGTCCATCTGTTTTGCACGTGTCCAGCTTTACGGATAAACATGCTGTTATTGTTTTATTTATGCTGTCGTTCTCTTTCTCCAGTTCTCAGTCTTTTTAGGGCTCATCTTTTTCCTGGAGCTGACTGCTGGAATCCTGGCCTTCGTGTTTAAGGACTGGATCAAGGACCAGCTGAACTTCTTCATCAACAACAACGTTAAAGCGTACCGGGACGACATCGACCTGCAGAACCTCATTGATTTTGCCCAAGAATATGTGAGTCTTTACGTGTGCCCTCTGTGTACCATATCATGGGTACCAGCACAAAAGGAGTGCACAAACCTTCCAGTTCTTGGATGCAAGCTTAGAAAATGGATAAAGCCTGTAGTAACCAAACATGTATAACTGGGAATGTGAGCACAGTGATATTACAGGTAAAAATCAGAGTAGGCATGCAACTAAAACTGTAGCTACCTGTGAAAAACTCAACGAAGGTGAACCAGTGGTGTTTTTTTTGTTTAATTAGGCTGTAAAACAGTCAGCTGGTTTAGATAAATCAAATTCATACACAAAACTCATACATCCGGCCTACAGAGACATTTTTCTACCTTTACGCTTTGCAAAAAACTCTGTAACTTCTTTCAAGATCAAAATTTTCTAACTTGTTTCTGCTCCGGTAAGCTGTTCTCTCCTTCTCCTGTGAACTGCCAAACGCCTTTTCTCGTTAACTAATATTGTCGCTGTCCACCCACAGACCGGCAGCACTCCTCTCTGTGTGTGCAAAGTGAAATGCTAACTAGCTAAAGCCTGTTCTCATGTTATCTTCTCACTCTACTCAACAATCTGATGGAAAATCTCAGTTTACCTGCACACTACGAGTAATCCGATACACAATTACACACATGAATAGAGAACCACTTAGTGTAGACGTTACCATGACAGCGAGCATCAGGTCCAGTCAGAGTGAGATGAGCAGCAGTGAGCAGCGCTTGTGTTTCTAATCACTTTAAAATGATGTCAGACTCAGGAAAACGTCCTTCACATGTCCTTATTAAAGAAGGCCGAGAGGAAGACGTCGTGTTCTGAGCCACATAACCTGGACGTCCGTCCCACCGCCGTCTTTTAAAGATCAGAGCATAAACTTCGTCTCCTCTGCAGACCAGTTTCTGCTCCGCCATGTTGACCGTTATAAACTTTCACTATGACGTAACGCACATGATCAGAACGTACTTAAACTCTCCGATTGGGATGTAATCAGATACAGGCGTTTACATGGTTATTATTCTTCTATTTAACAGATTATTTACAGGATTACCCGATCAATCGGATAGAAAATGCATTCCAAATGGCCTCAATCGGACTAGTCTAGGCATATACATGGGCATATTCTATTCCGATTGAGCTATTAGTCGGATAATTATTGGATTGTTAGGCTGTATGTAAACGTGGCTATTGTGTGCCAGTAGTGTTCTGATAAAATGGATGGAAATGGACAGTTTACATTACGTCCAATTACAACTTCGTCACGCATTGTCCTGTTTGTTTCAATGGAGAGCTCTGCTGGATCTGTATAGTGAATGCCTATTGTAAAGACTTCTGTTGTACGCAAATATGTCTTGCTTTCAGCCAATCAGGCTAGAGTAGAGTCCTCATTACAAGTGGCAAACATAAACCGAACCCTTTTTATCTGCAAGCCGTGTCTCAAGGAGGTTTTCGGCAGTGGAGCATTACTTATTAACCTTGAGGGGTTTTTAAAATGTGAAATAATAATATTCTCTATAGATGGGAGATTGTGTGTTATATTACAGTAACATAATATTGTTGTCCAAAATACTGTCTTTCACCCACTGCCTGTCTAGCACTTCAACATCACGCCACACAGTCATGCCAGTGCTCTGGCAGCTCCTTAACACATGAGCTTCTGCTTGCTACTAAATAAAGTCTTGCATTTTTAGGCAAAACCCTGCTTTCACTGACAACTGAGTGATGTGTTAGATCTGTGTGTTTATGTATGCATTTACTTGGGTGGTTTTGTGGGGCTACATTAAGCCCTTAAGCTGTAACGACCCATATTTAACTTACATATTAGTTCCTAATGTTCATAGTTGAATAGTAAGCCAGCAGTTTTAGGGCTTAAAGGTGTTGCTGGTGTAAACATATAACAGTACAGGTACATGGAATAAAGAGTAACCTGCTTAAATGTGTTATCTACACAGCAAAAGATCCAGAACAGAAGCCGGTCCTAAAAGCTTAACTAACTGGCGTAGTGATTGAGGATGATTGCAATGGTAATGGTGATAATAGTGATTTATCTGTGTTCTTTGTGTTTCAGTGGCTGTGCTGCGGTGCTCATGGACCGAACGACTGGAACCAGAACATTTACTTCAACTGCACAGAGCTGAATCCCAGCCGGGAGCGCTGCGGAGTGCCTTTCTCCTGCTGCATCAAAGACCCTGCTGTGAGGAAAAACACTCAGAAAGAAGCTTCACATTAGTGCTAGTGCTGGGCTGAACTGATAAAATTCAGTTTCACATGCTTTGTATTCCAGTTACATCACATTATCAAGATATTAGATGATATTTATTATCCGATGAGTAAACAGGGAACCTTACATAGTGTTATAAACATTAATCAGACAGAAGATAAAGTGAAAACACTATTTATGTTCTTTTAAAACAGTCTGAAGCGTCCAGCAAATGATGTAGATCACAGTTAACTTATGCTGACTTTTCAAGCGATTTCACCGTCACAGACAGATTTCCAATATCTGAATAAAATCATGACAGTCTTGCTAGAGTTGCGTTGAGTTCGCGTCACCTCGATCGTTTAGTGTAAGTTGGTCAGGATGGCCGTCTTAAGTCTTTTTCTCGTCTACGACAAACGAGCGCAAGGAAGAAAATGCATACGAGTGCCTGAAAGCTCTGTAAAAGCAAATCTGCTCCATTTTAAAACAATCATTAACTTAAAAATATAAACTAGATGCTTTAGTATTTACAGTTCACTGAGTGTAACAGTGCAGAGGACCTTTAAGAATGGCATAATTAAAGAAATATATATTTTTTTACTGTCTGTACAGCGGTTTCTTATTTTGTTTGTTTTTTTTATGCTTTAGTTCATAACACCAATCAACAATGCTGAATCGCTGCATGTTTTGTTGATGCGTAAATCTTTATATGAAAAACATTTTGCAGCTTAATTAAAAAAAACATACTGGGTGATGATACACCAGAATATACAATTCTACAGTGAACTAGGCTGAGCATTCCCAGCCAGCGTGTCTTTCCACACTCTCAGAAATAAAGGTTTTAAACTGTCACTGGGGGGGGCTTCTCTCAAGGGTACATCTCAGTACCTTTAGTCAGGGATCATAACTGTACCATAATCCACTGAAATGATATTTTGTGAGGTGTACTGACTCCACACACCCCGTCTCGTCTCCAGGCTTTTATTTTATTGTTCTGTTTTAAAACATTCGGTTAGGAAAATGTACAAATCTGTACTTTTTACCTGGAAAAACTTACTTAAGGTTCACAATCAGACCTTAAAACCACTGTTCGATCTTTGAGGGAACATTTACATTGTTTGTAGCTTGATAAACAAAAATGTACCTGCACAGAACCTTTATTTCTAATAGTACATTTGTACTACTGTAGAGTGAGGAACGAAAAGGGTTTATCTTCTTTTAAATTTCCACCATGTGCATGATGGGAAATAATCTCAAAAATCTAGTCGCAGTCTTGCAAATAGTGACGCTGCAAGATCCCCAGTCTTCGCAAAATCGTAGTCTAGTCATAGTGACTAAAACCTCTGTGGTGTTGTCTTTAGATGTGGGAGGGTGTCAAACGTCAGTCTTTTCAAAGTCTTTTCAGAGTCTTTTTAAAGTCCTCTAGTGTATGATTAGCCTTAGTGTTTCTACCCATCACTGTATCACCCGTATCGTCTGGTACCAGTTCACGTCTTTCTGTGTTCCAGTACCAGCCAGCCTGAAACTCCTGAGCTTTCACTCTGTTTTTCTCACTCTCGGTCAGGCATCTCCACCATAATGACTGCTTTCCTCTGTTCACTTTTTACACATACCAGACAATGGCCAGAGTCTGTTTATAGTGAGCGCTGCTGTGGAAACAAATACACAGTTGTATGGAAAAGTTTGAACACCGCCGGGCGAATCATGTTTTGTTTAAAGTGAAAATAAGTAAACACGTCCTCTGTAAACTTAAACATGGCATTTTCTGCACATCTTAGTACACAATTTCAGTTTACTTGCTGTGTTTAACCTATTTACATGTTAAATAAACAGTAATTGGGCATTAAAATGTGCAGAAGTCTGTTCTCTGTAGAGAATGTGTGTCACATATCTTAAACCATGGGTGCCCAAACCTTTGCCTATGACTGTAACTGGTCGAATTGCTATGAAAGCGCTTTTCTCAGTGGTCATGTTCTCCTGTGTCCCTTCATGGTGTGTAAAGCGTTAAATGCTTCATTTTTGTGTAATTCAAAGTGGAGACTCTAAACTTTCAGTACCTTATTTGCGTTTGTAAGTAGTAGAGAGATATTTCAGTGTTACTTGAAATTGATCAAAAGTTGTGTAATAAAAGTTGTGCATACAGTTTTGTTTTGCAGAAAGAAAAACATCCTTTACGTTTGTAATTGTTTGACATTGAATCAAACAGAATGACCTCAGAAGTGCAGACTGGAACCTGTAGATTCAGAATGTAAATCAGATGGAAATGGAGTTCATTACATAATTAACTATGTGTGCAGTTATATTTGGATGTAAGGTAAATTAAATTGAATGAATGGCAGAACGATGATTACTTAGACCTCTAATGGTTAATGATTCAAACAGCAGTGGGCAAGGTTGAAACAGAGCGCAGTCAGCGTAGCCAGATGAGTTTCTTAATGATGACAGGGACTTGATGAATGTTTGTTTTGATGTAGTAATGAGAGATTTGAGTAGTTAAATGTACCATTTGCAAAGGAAAACCATACCAGCAGTTAACTGGAAATAAACGATGGGCTCCCCAGATTATCGCAGCTTCATTATCTGTATAGTGACTGGAAACCTGAGGGGATGAAGTGAAAACTAGAAAAGTTTCATGGTGGTTGTTGGAGACTCTCAGTTTTACTTTTTTACATAATCTCTCTTTCTCTGTACTTCTCAGTCTAACCTCATGCGTCTGATTGTTGGTCCGTTTGTCAGGCTGTTTGTTCATCTCTTCCAGTTGTCTGTTTGTTTTTCAGTCTGTTTGTTTGGTTATCTGTTTGTATGTCCAGTTGTCTGTCAGTTTGTCAATTTTTTCATCTTTTTCTGCTTTTTTGTTTTGTCCATTTATTTGTTTGATCATCTTTTTGTTCATCCAGAAGTTCATCTGATTGTTTGTCTGATTGTCCAGCTATGGGTTTGTCCGTTTGTTCAACGCTTTGTCTGACTTTTTGCTTCCATCTGCTTGTCCAGTTGTGTGTTTGTCCGTTCGTTTGTCTGATTGTCTGTCCATTTTTCGCCTGTTGGCTGGTTGTTGTTCATTCGTTGTTGTCTCAGAAGAAAGCAGGTTTTTAGTACATATACGAGCCATTTAACACAGCTTGAAAATCATAAACAAATAGAAAAGAATCCCACCTTATCACTTTTTTTTTCTCCCCCAAAGAACATTTTTTCCTGAAAGAAACTAAATAATCTGTCAGTTCAGTAAAATAATCTGATTTAATACGAAGAATGTCTGTGTAAGGGCTTGATTTAATATTACAGTAATCTCATAGTGAACAACCTTAGATATATTAAGTATATCACTGTTGTCGGAACAACCCCCCCCCAGTTATCTCTCTTTGTCATTTTTCAGTTTTTGACATAATTTGAAAATACCTGTGGTCCTATACGTTGTGTTTAAATTTCATGATGAATGGACAAACAGAAATTACCCAAAATTACCTGGAAAAGATTCTGGTTCCATTGACTTACATTAAAAGTAAAGTATGTTTTTTTTCCTTCTCCTGTAAAGTTACCATTTTGGAGATGCAAGGTTTTGATCTGACGGCAGCAGTATATTATTTTTGTAGTGCTTCTTTTTGGATGCTATTATTCAGTAAGAATGAGTCAGGTTTACAGACACTGTTGATCTGTTACTTTCTCTGCTAAACTGTTTTGTTTTTTGTTTTTTTGTTTTTTTTGGGTAGCGACATTAAATGATCTGACCCTCTGATAGTTTTGTGGACCATGTTCAGATATTCAGAGATTTGATGAAGACTTCCTTTTTAGAAAGCTGTCACATGATTGTATGTGAGAAGTGACCATGTTTAAGTGTTTTTTTTTCCCCTCTCTTCTCCAGGGGGACGTCCTGAACACCCAGTGTGGCTATGACGTGCGGCTTCAAGGAGTGAGTACTTCACATATCATCATTTCTGAGTTTACAAAATCTCTCTGGCATGAAGAATATCCTAAAATCCTAAAAGTGTACATAAGTGTTTCCTAAACACAGTGAAACCATTATCTTCAGATTCAGCTATGATTGTTATAGTGAAAGACTGTTGTTGTCATAACAAAACCTCACATTTTCAAAATGTGCAGGTGAAGGAAAAAGACTTATTAAAGGGTTCATATTCTGCATTTTTCTTTGTATTTCTTTTTTTTTTTCTTCACTGAGATGGGTCATTCTACAGAAACGTCCATTTTTGTGTCCTTAGCTTTTATTACACTTGAAAAACATGTTAGGGTTACAATTTATTTATAATTTAAAATAAATGTATTTAATTATTTTAACAATTACACCTTCTTGAGCCTCAATTTAGCAATGCTGGTCTTTAAATCAATTATATAGAATTCTACCACAGACATGCTCATCCCCACAGTCATGTGTGAAGGGTGAGTTTCAGATTTTGAGATTTTAACTGCAATAGTCTACACATAACTGTGAGATATATGATTTAAATGACATAAAGAAAAACAAATGCCAAATAAATTTTATAAAATATATAATGAAAGTTCCCCAGGAGTGTCACTGGTGTTACTGTGCAACAAAAAATCTCTAATTTTGAAATAAAAATCACACTGATGACATCGCTTGACTTCTTTTTACCTATTTCCTGAGGATCTGTGAAGAAAAGCACATGGTGAGTCCACTGTGTCTTTTCAATTATCAGAGATTTTCTCATTTAGCTCATGATTTCATATGAAGCTTTTAGCTGAAGTCACTGGTGTGACCTTCTTTATTCTTAGGTAACTGTGAACAAATAGAATACAAATGGATTAAATTACATATTTTAGTGGATATTCCATGATTGACAACATGTGGTTTGATGCTCTGTAGCATTAAAAATGTCACTGGTGTTACCCTTTCTTATGTGTAACACCAATGACGATCAGTAACACCAGTGACTCCTGTGGTTAGATAAAAAGTGGACGTTTCTGTAGAATGAAAAGATCCACGTGTGTTTTTGATACATAAAACCACACGGTTATAACTCGTTTTTACAGGATCATTTCAAACTGTCTTTATCTCTTAAAACTAAACAGGCTGTTTTTGTTACTATGCCTTTAAGACTCAAATGTAAGTGAGCTCTGTTCTGATCGTGGCTCATTCAAGAAGCAGCTCAGGTGGGAACATTCCTTATAACTTCAGTGTAAATACGTGGAGTTAAACTGTTGTAGGCTGAATAGCTGTGCTGCTTTCAAGTCGTGTCAGAAATATCAGATTTATGAGACGAATGCACATGAATGCCACTGCAACGTTGTATTTACTAGTGGGGGAAAAAGCAGTAATAGCCACTGATAAACTGAATGTATTTCAGTTATTAATCAGCCACAACATTAACATTAACCACAATTACATGCAGTCTAATAATCTGTTAATAATCCGACTAATAGCTTGATCGGAATAGAATATGTCCATGTAAACACCTCAGTCAGAATAGACTAGTCCGATTGAGGCCATTCGGAATATAATTTAGTACATGTGAAGGACGTTTTCCTGAGTCTGACATCATTTTAAAGCATTGGAAAACACAAGCACTGCTCACTGCTGCTCATCTCACTCTGACTGGACTCACGTGATGCTGGTTGTCATGGTAACGTCTGCACTAAGTGGTTCTCCGCGCAGTGCGCGTCGTTTTGGATCAGATTACTTATAGTGTGCATGTAAACAGAGTTTTCCATCAGATCGTTGAGTAGAGTGAGTATAAAAACACCTCAGTCTTAATCTATGAACTGACTGTATTTAATCAGATTGACACGAATCTTTGCATGTAAACACAGACACTGCGGCTAAAACCATCTACACATGGAAATGCAGATGTAAGCTCGTTATATGATACATCTAACTGCAAAAAAAACATTAATCTTCTCAGAAACATCTTCTGCTCTTCAGTTTGTTGCAGACTTAAAGCATTATGTCCAGTGTGTCTATCTTATTTCCAACCAAAACCACTTCAACACAAGTCGTACTTACGACCTCTGAAGTCGTAAATAGGAACTTCTGGGAAGACTTGTAGGCAGCAATGGGTTTGTGTAAAAGTGTTGGGCTGTTTTTGCAGTTTATTTTCTATTAAAAAAAGTAAATGGTATATTTTAAAACTTAAACAGTCATTGATTTAAAACACTTTTATTAAAGAAAAATTCAGTGTTACTAGACTCTTTAACCTTATTGTACATTAATTTTATTAATGAATGTAATTTGAGACCATTTCCGTTGGTCTTTTTGTCATGAAATGTTCACACAGTATAAAAACTGCTGTCTTTCTAAATGTTGGGGGGGAAAAGGAAGAGGTTTTAAAGTGACAGCAGCAGTATGTTGTAGGATAATAGCATGTGTGTGGGAGTCGGCGCATAGAGATATGTTTAAAATGGACTTCTTTTGTAAAAGCTCATATAGAAAAAGGCACACATGCAGAGTGAAAGAGCGTGTTGACCCCACCCTCGGAGAGCCTGGAAGGGTTAAGTGCAATAATTGAGTGTTTCAGCTGGTGGCGCGCAGGCCTCTAATAACAGTTTGAGCTTTTAACAGTGCTAATTAGCGTCCCGTTTTAGCCGGGGAAAGCGCGGAGCTGTAATTGGGGAGTCAGCGGGTTACGCCAGGCCCCGTTCTTCGCTCCCGGCGTGGGTGTGGTAACACACTGCCACTCCAGGGGAACAGCAAGGGCACCGTGCCAGTCCGGTTACCATGGACACAGTGTGCATGTGTGCTTTAGGAGTGGACCGTACGGCGAGCCGCTCAGAATCCGCTTCTTCATTTTCATGGGAGTGAATTGGGAAAGCCTTTTTGGTAGGGATGTTTATGTGAAGTAGTTACACTACAGGACAAAAGCTTGGAAGCAGCAGTAAAGCAAAAATAAGCATCGTGTTTTTGTTTATTATTGTATGTCTGGACTAAACAGCATTTTACAGGCTCAGTACTACCCTTAAAACCAACGGTTTTGTACTTAAGTATGTTCATTTAAAAGAAAAAAACATCAAATTTTTGATTTGTAACAGTTTCCCATATTTACTGCAAAAGTTTGGGCACCCCCAGTCAAATTCAATGTTTTGTCAGTTTTCTAAGTGAAAGTAAGTTACACATCCTCTACAGTGAACACACTTCTGCACATTTAAATGCACAGTTACTGTTTATTTGCTGGATTTATCATATTGGAAAAAAATTAAACATAAAATGTGGCCTGTGCAAAAATAAAGGCACTTTTTATTTTTTACATTTTTCCAATAAACTCTATTCCAATAAATGGACTGTATGCGCTGAAATTTGCTACAATTCACAAGAAAAATGCCATATTTGAGTCTGTTTACTGTAGAGCAACTGAATTTAGCTGAATTTGCTGAACTTAGCATATTGGGGAAAAATACATAAAATGTGGTCTGTACAAAAGATATGGCACGTTTTATATTTTATGTTTTCTTTTTTCCCAATATGTTAAATTCAGCAAATAAATGGAAAATGTGCCCTACACTTATCTGTGTTCTCTGTAGAGGGTGCGTTCACTTATTTTCACTTAGAAAATCAACAAAACCTGCCATAAGACCAGGGGTGTTCAAACTTTTGCATGCAACTGTATGTACACCTTCAGTCTGGGGTTTTTTGTGTTCTTGGAAAGCATCTTAGAAGAAGTAGCCCTTTGAACCTTTTGTATCCAGTGATTTTAGTGCTTATTGTAGTTTCCCAGAAAGCCTTTCTCTGCAGCGCTGTGCAGAGAGCAGTATCAGAGTGGCTGAAGTGCAGGAAGGGTGTGGAGAGGAAGTTGGAGACAGAAGCGGAAAAAAAGAGCAACAAAGAGAGACCTGAGTCAAATTAGGCCCCAAAGGGACGTTCACCGTCAAAACAGCCACTTCCCTCTCTTTTCACTGGCTCCCCTCCGTATACTCCTGGCTTCCTATTGGCCCAGAGGTCGACTCTGCAGGTCTTTTGTGTCATCTACCAGCATAGAGACAAAAGGTTGAGCTGGGCGGCAGCTCTGTAGGGCGACTGAGGCTGAAATATGTGCAGGTTTTTATCCTCTTCTTCTTTCAACATCACTGCACTCTGCAGTTAATCCTACTTTCATCTAAATCATGGTGTCAGGCTTTGGACCGAATGATGGAAAGATGAAGGCCATGTTTTTCATTTTGTCAAAGTCAGAAAAAAAGTATTCCTAACTAGTATGGTAATGTGAGTTTTTATTTCAGACCATTTTTATTAGTCCATTCATCATGAAATGTTCACACAGTGTAAACAGCAGCTGGCGTTTTTTAAATAGTGTAAATTTATGTTTTGTTCCGTGAAAAATGTGGAAAAAGACAGATGTTCAGGCAGCTGGATAAATCTGAAGACAGTGCTGAAGAACCTGTGTCCTCAGCTATACTAATTACTGTTAATAATTAACCTCAGTTAAGAATCCTAAGCACTGTATCACCTATAGTGATCGGTCAGTATTATTGTCCAGATCAGACAAATGTACTGTCTAGCTGGACTTGTTTACTCAAACTACTCAAAAACTCAAACTACTCAAAAAGTATAAAATGCAACTGTAAACATTAAAATTAAACAGTTAAAAAATTTGTAAAGAAATGTATAAAGACAAAAAAACAAAAAATGTCATGTTAATATTAAAAAATGTAAAAAAAAAAGAAAATAATAAAATAAAATAAAAATACTTTTTAGAACTTTTAAATAAAGGAGAAGAAGAAAAATATTCCATTAATAAATTACTTTACACATGGAAAAAAAAAACTAAATAAATAAGAATTTTACAAAAATAAACATTAAAAACAATAGTCATATTTACCTTTAAAAATAAAGTAAAAATTAAAGAAATTAAATTTACAATAAAAAAACTGCGTTCAAACATTAGGCATATGTATATTTAAAAAGTAAAAAGATTACAAAAAATAGATTCCTTATTTATTTAAAATTACAATATTACATTTTTACATTTAAGTTACATATTTACATTGAAAAAAATAAATATTCCAAAATTAGGCATGTTTAAAAAGCAGAAGAAATAAAGTTACATAAAAAAAACTAAGTAAAACAAATAAAACATTCATGAAGAAAAAAAAAAAAACGTTAAAAATGATCTTTACTATCTACTGATCTTACACGAGTTATCTTTTGTAAAGGCACTGGATCAGCAGCTCTGCTCAGTATTAAGCTGAATATATACATCAGTACTATATATCGGTGCTTGTGTAAATGTGCTGTATGTGCAGCAGTGAAATGAGCATTTCTGCCTCTATAGGAGCTTCATGCCGAGCAGTGAAGTAGAAAGCGTTTCCCTGCCACAGTAACAGTGAGTGCCCTTGGCGGTTGTGTTAAACCTGTAATCATCTTGTCTAGCTGGCGAGGACTCAGTGCTCTCACTGTGCCAGGGAAGCTGTTTGTTCTTGCACAGATTTACCAGCAAGACTCGGCCAGGTGGAGGCCTACGTGCTGTTTCTGCTCAGTGTCCAGCCAAAGAGCAGAGAGAACACCCACACACTTTCACTTTCCCTGCTTTTTCAGGCTTGGCTGAATTCTGACTTGTCAGACCTTTGTTTTTACGTAATATATTTGTGTGTATTTTATTGTGTTTTTCTTTTTAGGAACTGGCTCAACAGGAGTTCATTCACACAAAAGGATGCGTGGGGCAGTTTGAGAAGTGGCTTCAGGAGAATTTGATTGTCGTTGCCGGCATCTTCGTTGGTATTGCACTATTACAGGTAATGGTTTGTGAATGTAACACAGATTCAGATGAAAGATCTGGGCTGATGTGCTATGATAGTTATTTTGTAAAGTTGTAGAAAGCCGTCTTGTTGCCTTGGAAGTTTCTCAGAGTGCCACCTGCTGGTAAGATAACTGAATGGACACCAAGATAAAAAGCAATATAAATGGTCGTCAACTATCTTCCAGGATTTATAGCGGATTTCTGCTGTTGGTTTTAAATTAAATGCATAGATAAACTGTTGAAATGTAAATAAAGTCCTTCAGAGTGAAATGCTCTGTTTTAGTGAAGCTAACAGAGTCAGAATTGTTCACAGTGGTGGTGATAGGAACCAGACGTCTGAAGAGTTTAATGCCTTTAAAAGCTACATCACAGAGAATTATTACATAAAATCATACAGATATGTTGCTTGATGCATTGTTTTACAGTTATTTTGAGAATCTTTTAGGGCTTTTGTTTTTTAAATACGTTCAAGTACATGTATGGTGACCAAAGCAGAAATAGTAGCCAAAGATTTTTTTCTGTCCAAATTTACAATTATTTTATCATCATCATGACATAAACAAAAACCTAGACACGTGTATGTTCACTGGTCATTTTTAGCTTCGTCCAGTACCTTTGGGATGAGTTGGTGCGATCCAGAACTGACCACCCAACATCAGTACCTGACCTTACTGATACTCTTGTGGCTGAATGCAATCAGCTCCTCACAGCAATGTTCCAACATGTAGTGTAAGCCTTACCAGAAGAGTAGAGGCTAATACTGCCACAAAGGAGCAACAGACTCCCAATTAATACTTCAGAAGAAATATTGAGTCTATGTTTATTATGACCACCTCCTTGTTTCTACGCTCATTGTTCATTTTATCAGCTCCACTTACTATATAGGTGCACTTTGTAGTTCTACAGTTACAGACTGTAGTCCATCTGTTTCTCTGCATACTTTGTTAGCCCCCTTTTACTGTTCTTCAGTGGTCAGGACCCCCATAAACCCTCACAGAGCAGGTACTATTTGGGTGGTGGATCATTCTCAGCACTGCAGTAACACTGACGTGGTGGAGGTGTGTTAGTGTGTGTTGTGCTGGTCTGAGTGGATGAAGGTGAAGTGATGAAGGACTAGAAGATGACCAACACAAACTGTGCAGCAGCAGATGAGCTATCGTCTCTGACTTTACATCTACAAGGTGGACTGACAAGGTAGGAGTGTCTAATAGAGTGGACAGTGAGTGGACACAGTGTTTAAAAACTCCAGCAGCACTGCTGTGTCTGATCCACTCGTACCAGCACAACACTCACTAACACACCACCACCACGTCAGTGTTACTGCAGTGCTGAGAATGATCCACCACCCTGCTCTTTAGTGGTCCTGTGGGGGTCCTGGCCTTTGAAGAACAGAGTATGCAGAAACGGATGGACTACAGTCTGTAACTGTAGAACTACAAAGTGCTCCTGTATGGTCAGTGGAGCTGAGAAAATGGACAGTGAGCGTCAGTTCAAGGAGGTGTTCCTAATAAAGTACTCAGTGAGTGTAGATACATGCAGGTTGGACACATTTCTGAGTGCATTACTTTCCTTTTCTGCACAGATCTTTGGCATCTGTCTGGCCCAGAACCTTGTGAGTGACATCAAAGCGGTCAAAGCCAACTGGTGACCCTTGGCTGACATGGAGAGGTGACGTTAACCTCTGCGGGCAACCTTCGTGACCCCTCGTGTCGTGTTGGTTGCAAAAGAGCACTGTTTACATGCCCACAGAGTGGAGACCCCTCTCCCAGCTGTTCTCTGGAGCTTTATGTAAGCTGGTGTTACAAAAAAGTGACACACTCTCTCTCTCTCTCTCTCTCTCGCTCTCTCTCTCTCGCTCTCGCTCTCGCTCTCGCTCTCTCGCTCTCGCTCTCGCTCTCTCTCTCTCTCTCTCTCTCTCTCTCTCTCTCTCTCCCTCTCCCTCTCGCTCTCGCTCTCTCTCTCTCGCTCTCTCTCTCTCCCTCTCCCTCTCCCTCTCCCTCTCCCTCTCTCTCTCTCTCTCTCTCTCTCTCTCTCTCTCTCTCTCTCTTCTCTCTCTCTCCCTCCCTCCCCTCCACCACATTTGTTGTTTTTCTTTTTTTTGTTTTATGCAAGCTCTTACAAAGAGCTCCCCTATGGAAATAAAAGGCAGCGGAGGTGGAGCCTCTATATCATCTATATTAACCACTCTGCACACTCAAAAACTCAGAAACGACCACTTATCCTCCTTCCATCAACCTGTGGAAAGCCGTCCTGGTCCTATGCACCTGCAGAAGACTGACTATTAAAGCTCACTCAAGACTTTTAAAGCTCAAAGGGTGAGAAAGAATGGAGCTATATCAGGCCTTACTGCAATGCACGTCATCGGGAGGGGGATTTCTTTTTTCCAGCATTTACCTGTCCTTCTGGCTGTCAGTCAAGTTGACTGACAGGTGGACCTTCGACCGTTGACCCTGACCGGGCTTCTGTTGCACAGAGCCGTCCGGCTGGAGACTTTGTACTTGAAAACTGACACGATGACACATTTATTTTTGAGAGTTCTACCACTACACTTGGGTTAATGGAGGAAGTTTGTGCATTTGTACAGCTGTGTTTTTTCTCGATTTATTTTTATTATATATATATTTTTTGCAGTCCGATCCTCTGCAGCAAGGAGAGATTTTTCTCAATTATCATCTGCCATGAGTTTTTGTATGTAATATCTTTTTTTTTTCTTGATTGTTTGGCTAGAAATATAATAGTGATATGCTATAACTTCATTAGAAAACATTAAACGAATCCTGTTACGATATGAACGATGCTGCTTTTAACTCTTAAGATTTATAGACTGCTACACTAACCCAGAGAAACTGACATAGAACCTAAACCGAGAGTCCACTGACACATGAGCCACTTCATGTTCATGATTACTGCTGCCTGCCCTGCTTATACACATGCACATTCACGCATGCATAGACGCTTACATGAACACACGCACACCTGAGATCGGAGTAAGAAGCTGATCATAAAACCGATCCTTAAGCCCAGTTCACACTCATCCGATGAAACCAGATCGTTCTAAAATACTTTAAAGAGGCATCCTGTGTGTCAAGAAATGCACATACCATGGCATAGAAATGCCATAGTCTCTGTTGCTGTAAAACAGACATGTAGAATGTGAGAAGTAATTTATCTTCATGCAAATTGATGAATCGATTAATCATCTTAGCTGAAAATATGTCTTAATATGTGCTAATGTACTATACTAGTGTAGGATAAAAGACATAATATAAACGGAAACAGAGACTTACTTGCTCTGCTTTAAGCTTTAGCTCAGCTATTACTGCTTTTCTCACATCTCCAGCAGGAAACTTTTCCTCAAAAGTAGAAAAGCTTCTTGTAAAATGTCCCTCAACGTTTGACTCTTCACGAGGCTGAAGTCGCTTCTCATTCACCAGCTTCTTGTTCTGATGTTCCCGTTCCACCTTAAATGGGGCCAGAATGTAACAGGTACCATTTAAGGTGGAACAGAAACATTTCAATGCAAAGCTGACTTCAGCTTTTCACAACTTTTTAGTGTTTGACAGTTTCTCGTTGCAGATTAAACGTATCAGGAAACCAGCTGGACTGACTATAAATGCAAATGCAAGTCCATTTGTCTCCAAATTATCGATGTTCGTCTCAAATCTTTCTCTTTGCCGTTTGATTAAGCTACTAGATAGTGGAGATTGCTGTCTGCGTTGCTATGGGGACTAACAGTCTGCGCACCAACCTTTGGGGTTAAAGGCTGAATTAGCAGATATAGGCTACATTAACTCCAGCGTCAGACCATTTATTGCTAAAACTGTGTTAGAATGATCAGCAGAGCTTTATTTTACTGCAAAAAGGATTATTTTATTTTTACATACAAATCTAATTCTGCTGTGGAGCCACAACAGGACAGTAAAAGAGCCATGTGTTGCCGATCCCTGCACTACGGCCTACGTTGGAAAATCTGGAGCACTTTGTAGAGTACTGTTATAGTGAACAGAATCAGGTTAGTTAGTATTTTTTCTGGACAATCTAAAGACAGTTACAAACCATCAGAATGTTGGTGTCACAGAATGTCTGGTCACTGCGCTCTGGCTATAAAACTCCAGCCACGGTCATCTAAAAACTAGACTTCACACTGATGACACTGCCTCAAATACAGGCTAAAACCATCTCATCTCGCCGGATGAGTATGAACTGGGCTTCACTGTGACATTTAATAATCACGGGCTTTGGCTCGGTCCCCATACTGAGTGCATAAATCAGGCAAATTCTGTTCCTCCACACAAATCCTGCAGGGGAATCGGCCACTTAACAGCCATCACGCAGCAGTCCTGCACGCTAGCGAGTGGGGGAAAAAAAGCTCGGAGCTTTAGGACCACTGGGACCCCTGCGCACACACACTCTTCGACGTGTGCCTGTGGGAGTGCACTGCCCATCAAAAGTTTGGGGACACCCAGTTTTCCAGCAGGCCTTTAATAAACGACCATGTTTTTAATAACCTAACAGATTAAATAGAAATCTGTTTAGCACTTTCCACTTTAAGACCTGAAGGAACATCTGCTTGAAGCCCTGCATTGGGAATAATGCTAGAGGCTACATTGTGCCCCCTTATCATGATGTGAGTACTTAAAACTTTGGACCTTTGGGCCGAAAGCATTTCAATATGTGGTTTTGAAAAGAAAACTGTAAAGTCCTTATTTTAAACCTACTAGGAAGACGCTTGAAGCTTTACAGGTGTTGTTTCTTTTCTAACTGAAAGTATCAGTGAAAAATCTGAAAACAGCGTGAGGAGAGGGCAAGGTGTTCCTGCATTTTTGATGTATGTATGCACGTGTCCGTCCTGTCGCGAGTTCCTCCTAGCTGCGATAAAGGGCCTGTGTGTATATATTCTCAGGATTATTTTGCAGGGTTTCTCTATAGAGCCATGGTGGACGTAATGCTGATAAAAGATTGACGTTGTGGACGTAGAACGTGTTTATGTAGAGAGTCTTATTAACGTGGCTGCATGTCGCCACTCTGCGTGAGCGAGATGAACCTTATGCATGTGAAGCTTCTTCTGTTTGACCTGTTAAAACTGGGGGTGCATCACTCTTGAATTGTTATTGAACGATTCTGATTTATGACAGTGATAAAAATCTGTTTTTCTTTCTTTCTTAACAGAGACAGGCAACTACGGGCTGTTTTCCACTGCACAATGTGCTGAAACATTTGGAACCAGAAACTGGAACTGTGCTTTTTTGGCCATTAGTTCAGTAAAGAAGGTTCCAGGTTTATGATTAGTGGTATCCACTCATGATCGCTAGCAACAGGACGTACTTGAGGGTGGGGCTAGCCTCACTGTTCATTTCTGACTGGTTAAGAATGCTGCTATTTTCAAAACGTTTCAACAGAATGGGACCAGTAAGGGCATCAGACACCAAACTATACTGGTATGTGGATGTGAAGTTTGCAAAGCTACACTCTTAAAACAGGTGGTTCTTCAAGGGTTCTTTAGTAAAGAAAATGTTTCTATATAGAGCCATGCATGCTCAAAGAAACCTTTGCATGATTAAGGGGTTCTTTGCATCATGAAAGGGTTCCTCAGATTGATAGACAGTGTTTTTTATATGGTTCTATATAGAACCTTTTTGAAAAATGTTCTATATAGCTCCCAAAATGGTTCTTGTATTGTTACGCTGTCAAGCTTGTAACAGTAGAGGAACACTTTTGGGTGCTGTATAGAACCCTTTTCAACACGATTCTGTTCAGAACCATACAGCACATTCTCCGTCAATCTAAAGAACCCTTTTGGGTGCTATGTAGAACCCTTTTCAAAAAAGTTTTTTATATATAGAACCATCTACAGCACATCTGTGCACATTCTCCATCAATCTGAAGAACGCTTTCATGATGCAAAGAACCCGTTAATCATGCAAATGGTTCTTTAAGTGTTCATGGTTCTATGTAGAACCGTTTTGTTTACTAAATAACCCTTGAAGAACTATCTTTTTAGGAGTGTAGTTAGGAAGCTAATGCTATTAATATTTACTGGCCCCTTTGAAACTCATCAAAGACCATTCCAGTTGTCTCGCTAGCAGGTGGGCTAAGGTGGCTCCTAGGTTTTCTTGGTTCTTGTTTGGTCCAGTTCTTGTTTTTGAACGTGCAGTGGCAAAACGCCCGAAGACGATAACGTTGGGTAAAGAGCAAACAAACAAAGCTATTTTGCGGGCTAACTGAACACACAGGCTCTTCCCACAGTGAAATATTTTCAGCCAACTGACTTTTTTGGCAAAGCATAGCAACAGCATTGTGAGCTGATTCACATTATTTATGTGATTCAGCTCTGAGTGCTGTTTCTGATTCACATAAATAATGTGAATCAGCTCAGAGTGCTTCACCTTATTTATGTCATGAAATGTCCACACAGTTCAGCCAAAATCACCAATTATAAGGCATTAATGTCAGCCAATGTGGATCGCACTCCCCGAGTTAAACCGCTCTGCTCCTGAAGGAGAATGTAGATAGAGATTTAAAGGCTTTTGTTTGTGCTGAAAGCTTTTAACATTGGAAACTCTTGCACCGTAGCGTCAGTAGTGGTTCTAACACTCGGCCTGTCTATAGAAGAGGCCGGGGCTTTTTATGCAGACAAAAAAGACAGATTACATGCTTATTCAGAGGCTATGTTTATTCCTCTTTTGTATTATTTTTGCTTTTTTATGCAGTCGTGTTGACTGCTTTATCATGTTTTCTTTCTCTGCTCCCTCTCATACTGCAGTGGCCTTGTTCTCTTTCTCTTTTTTCTCTGTCGTTTTATCATTCCCTCGTGGAAAAACGTGCGTATCCTGAATGTACAGCCCGTCTGCGAAGAAGTCACGTCCGACGTGGAGGTGACTCGCCATCCAAAGCATGCACAATTC